GGGAATAACTAATGGTGTAAACATAGCATGGGTCTTAGGACAAACAATGGAAGACATAGTGATATCAAACAGAATTGAGCATATGATCAGAATAGCTTAGAATAACGAATCACTTACAAAACAGGTTTGTACTAGAAACTAGGGAAATCAATTAGTTAACCATTCAGACATGCATAGACAGAACATAGTCAGTTTGAAACACATAACAAAAGGAGTAATATATTCATAAGTAAGCTGATCCTAAGAGGGTTTATGACATAATTAGCATGATAGGTGCAACAAAACAAGTTAATTACATGTTGAACAGCAAAATAGTAGACAGAAAGAGATTAGGAATATGATAAACTAAAGCAGTAGGAAATACATTGGTTTGAGACTTGAATTGAAATCAGAACATACCAGTGGAGAATATAGTAAACACAAAGTGAGGAGTAAGAGAATATAGTAGTCAGCCTTGACTTACAGCCGGCTAACTTAGAAAAATAGCAAATAACCAAAGAAGAAAGCAGAACAGCTTTTGATTGTGAGAGAGAGTTTTTGAACCAAAATGTGTTCGTGTGTTTGTGTTAATGAGAGAGCATGTATGTATAGTTTAAGACTAGGTAGAAAATAAGGCAAGAATCATAGTAAAGCAGTAATTATAGAACTATGTATCAATTAGAATCAAATCAGTATAAGTACTCCCTTTAATTAAGGAGTTAGCTTCAAACGGTAATAGACAAATAAGAAAGGAGATCACATAAGGCTAAATATAACACATAAGGAAATAGTTTTAGTGTAACATAAGTATAGAACATTTAATAGCGGCAAGGTTCAGCATATTCTAATTAAGGAATATACGTAGGCCCATGAAGCTATTAGACCCACTGATATCCGAAAGCTACCCTCAACGCTTGCTGGGGTGCTGGACGATGATGCACTTAGGCTATACAAACTTATATGGTCCCATACCATGGCATGCCAGATGGAACCTGCTATGATCGAGCAGATACAAGTTGATATTGGGAAACCTGACCAGTCCATAATCTTGCGTTCTGCAAGCTCAAAAGTACAGTTTCCTGGCTACCAAGCTGTCTACGAGGATGTGGAAACTAACTCAATGAGAGATAATGAAAGTGGGAGGGATGATCGTTCTGAAGTATTTGAGGCTCTTAGGAATTTAACTGCTGGGGATCAAATGTTTTTGGATAAAGTAAAACTTGAGCAACACCACACTCAGCCTCCACCATGATACTCGGAGGGGTCTTTGGTTAAAAAGCTGGAGGAGCTCGGCATTGGAAGACCTTCCACTTATGCAACCACAATAAAAGTGTTAAAGGATAGGAATTATGTCACTGCCAAAGGCAGAACACTCTATCCTGAATTTCGTGGGCGTATGGTATCAGCATTTCTCTCTCATTACTTTACTGAAGTAACAGATTATAGCTTCACTGCCGACATGGAGACAGAACTTGATAATGTCTCTGCTGGTTTGGCTGAATGGAAAGGCCTTTTGAGAGATTACTGGACTAGATTTAGCAAGTATTGTGAACATACTGGTAATGCGCACATTCATCAGGTGGAGAAGATGTTGGAGAAAACGTTTGGTGATTTTCTGTTTGCATCTCTTCCTGATGAAAGTAGGACATGCCCAAGCTGCCTTCAGGGAATTTTAATCTTCAAAGTGAGCAGGTTTGGTGCAGGCTATTTTATAGGTTGTGACCAACACTCAAAATGCAAGTGAGTAATGAGCTACCATGGATTTTGGATCTTTTAAATACTGTCGTTTCATCTTCTCCTGATACCACAGATGTTGGTGTGGAATCTGTTCTTGCATTTACATATTAATGATGTTTTGATTTACCATTTGCATGGGTTGCAGGTTTCAAAAAGTTTAGATACTTCTCTCTTGTTAAAGCAAGTATTTGGAATCTTCTGCTGTTAGATTAAGATTAGATGCAACATTGCACGGCGGGTCAGCAGGAATCTATATCATTGTCAAGCTGCTATAATGAAAGACCATCCCTTCCTATTTGTTTGTTTGTCCTGTCAGATAGAAAATTAGACTCCAAAGAGCCCTTATTTACTTTACTACTTTAGGGGTGGGGTGAGGGGGGTTACATAAAACCGAGGCAAAGTGATTTATGATTGAATCTCAGAGGCATTCTTATCATTTGGTAGATCCAAGTCCGTGGCTTATTTCGGGTTCACTCGGAGCTTTGGCAACAACCATAGAAGGTGTGATGTACATGCACTCATTTGAAGGAAGTGCAACACTTCTGAAATAATGAGTACTTAGTCCTCTGGAATGATCTCTTTGGAATTGAAGAGATTTGATTCTCTTGGAAGACACCTGATCTTTAGAAATTAGAATCTCATAGGTGCACAAAAAAGAAATAAGGGACAAGAAACTATTCCGCAAATGTACAAAGTCATTCTCTGTCCCTTCAAAAGCTTTCCTATTGCTCTCTTTCCATACTATTTACACGAGTGCTAATGGAGCTACATCCCATGCCTTTTGTCTTCCTTGCTACCAACGAAGCGAACAAACACAATCTTCATGGTGCCCTTGTATTGGGTAACGCCAACATCTTGCCTATGGCAAGGCCCACGAGAGGGCTAGGGTAGCCCGTGTCGGAGTCATGGTCGAACATAGCGTTTGCTTGGTGATCTTGGTTAAGAAATAAAGTTGCGCCCTTGCTATCAGCTATAGCTTTTGGCATGATGATAAGCGCTTGATCCTACACCTTGGACTCCAAATCGATAGATGTGGAAAGGTTGATACGCCTCGGATCCAGAGCTTATTACAATAGGACTTTACTAAAAATAAACCCACTACTCCCTGCCCTTGACTCCCAGTAATCCTGGCTGTCATGTGAAGAACTTTGCTTATAGACTAATTCAACCAGACTTTGAATTTATTCTACCTCCCAATTATGAAGGTTCCTTCTAAACCTTAAGTCTCGGTGAACTTCCTTAAAGATTGTACTGTTATCCCTTTTTTCCGATAAGGTAAAGGTTTACCCTTTACTGTTATCCCATGCAAAGCAATTGGAAAACAAGAGTCTCCTCTTCCCTTTTAGTTTTTGTTCTAACTTCTGCATCCTTTGCACTTTGAGTTGCTACTTTAAACGTATCGGGCATGTATTCGTTCGTTTCCAGCATTAAATCTTTATTTCAGTTATCATGCCTTGTAAGTTGTAAGCACATGAACTTTTGAATCTCTTAGCAGTATAATGGATTTGTTATTCTTGATAGTGCAGAACAATGAAGAGAAATATAGTTGTTTTTCTCCTTCTCGTTCAATGTCGTTTTCAAGTTATTGGCTGATGTAGCTTTGACATTCATTCTTAGGTATATTGCCAAGACATGATATGGTGAAGAGGATGAAGACATCACCTCTGAAGACAATAAAAGAAATGTAGAGCCGCCAAAGTTGCTGGTGTCCATCCATCTTCAAATGAGAAGGTTACCACTTCAACCCTTTATATATCAATGGATTGGTTATACTAGTTGATCTTTTGACCAAAATACTGGTTATACTAGTTGATCTTTACTTTCTGTTAATTGTTTGTTCTCAGAGATGTAAAGACCTTTATGCCCTTTCTCCTTAGGTTCTTTTGAAGAATGGACCATATAGATACTATGTTCAGCTCGGATGAATACATTTTCCATGATCAAGTTGAAGGATATCACTTCTGTTACCTTGGAAGATACCTTGGAGTTGCTGTGTTACCCTGTAACATTAGTATGTTTGAATATGTACTCCCTTTTTTTTCAAGTTATTTCTGTCTTCAGTTTTAGTTTTCTCTATCACTGGTTATCAGCATGCATACAAATGATGAATGGGTCTTGTTTACAGGGAAACCATCCAGATGATGTTGGACTTTAAAGCATTGGGCTTTAAAGACTAAGAGTGTGAATTGGGAAATGGTGGGAAATAAAATAGAGGGAAATGAAAATTTAAATCAAGTGAACTTTTGTCGAACTTTGTACCATATTGGTGAAAGACAACTACACTTGTGTGTATAAATATAAGATCACTTCTTAGAGCTCTTAAAAGGAGTTGACGAGAATGAACCCTCGCGCCGTCGTCGTCGCTCGGCTTCGGCTTCGGATTTGTCAAATGATCGATAGATAAGATTAATTAAATGTCAGTCAGTTCATTAACGAAATTAACTGAAATCCAAAACAATGCTGAACGTTTACTTTCCCTTCTGAACAGACATCACACCTCTTCCAATAATTGCCTATAAATTCTGAGGCATGGCTTCCATTTCATTTACTGAAAATCAACTTCTGAATACTGCACTCTTCTTCGCAGTATCTCTCTCTCTCAAATTCGTAAGTGTGATTTTGCTCCGTTCTTTGAGTTTGTTGGTATCCTGCAGCTTGTATTGCCATTGTTGCAGGAAGGTTTATTCCGTTTCATCCTGGGAGGATTTAATCCATTACCTTGGCAACTTATGAGGGGGTTAAAATTCCTTAAGGACGCACAAGGAAATTGTGGACTCGGAATATTTCTTATCATTTTCAGAGTTTCTGTTTNTTTTCTATTTCTTCTAACAGTTTTCTGATTTCTGTTTTAACACAGTATCGCAAACAAGCTTAAGGAATTTTTTTTTTTAACGTTTATGTGTTGAAATTTATATTGAACTGTTATCTATCTTTTGTGTACTGGTTTGGAGACTAAAGCGTAGTGCTTTCTACTCCAATATTTGTTCTGTCCGGTTTAAAGTATATCAAAACTTTACCGGAATAATAAACGTACGGGTTTGAAGTATATAAAAACTTCACCATTGTTACGTATTGTATGTTTGGTTTGGAATTCAGTTTGAAGATATCAAAACTTTACTAATTTAACAAAGTTCTGTTTGTGTACAACTCTACAGAAATATGATGAATGAAAACCAAACTAATGGAAATGCTGCTGGAACGGGTGTTTCATCGAGTGCTGCTGCTTCGTCAAGACCAGCACATACAATGGCACCGGCAGAAAAACCCGGGAAGTTTTTCGGTACAGACTTCAAACGTTGGCAGATGAAGATGCTATTCTATATAACTACACTAAGCCTGCAACGATACATCAAGGATGATGTTCTAGTCGTGGGAGAAGATACTCCTGAGGCTGAATGATTTGTGATAATTGAAGCATGGAAACACTCTGATTTCCTATGCAGAAACTACATTTTGAGTTGTTTGGAAGATGACTTGTATAATGTTTATAGTGTCATGGAAACTTCAAAAGAGTTATGGAACGCTCTTGAGAAAAA